TTCTTTCCTTTAATAAAAATCGGGGCATGTCAAAATCTGTTACCCCGTATTTTGGGCAATTTTTTCAAGCTGTTAGAACATTTTTGATCACTGTTTACATCAGTGCATGTGAATGCATTCAGAAAGATTCTATAAAGGAGGCCGTCTTAGCTTTTCTTCATTGAGTTTCTGATTTCTATCATTAGCCTCAACATCTCTGCAATCATTCTTATCTGGTGGTTAACATGTTATTTCTCCACTCCTCCTTTTCTTCCCCTCCAACATCTTCTGAATGGGAAGCTAGGAAATGAAGAGATTCTTAAAGTGATCATTATTTTCGTAGCAGCTGGTTCTTAATAGCTCCAGCTTTGTGACAGAGGTGACAGGATCTGTTTCCGCAGCTTCATTGCCCTAATTATATTCCTAATGGATCACAAGTTCGGGGCTAAAGCAATGTTACATATTGTAGTGTCTGCAGGGCAGCCGTTTTATGGTTTGCTGAGAAACATCTAAATGTAACATGTGTAGCCAATGCACTTACTGTCATTAGTTAACCAAGCAGCCCATGTGCCTCTTTCAGCTCCCTGACCCACATTTCATCCATGCTTTGCTGTTTTTCTCCTGCAGGGTTATTTCCTGAGTAAAGCTTAGAGCTTAGGAGTCTCCCAGCAGAGAGCTCTGTTCTGACCTTCCTCAACAGGCACTTTTACCTGCTGGGCTAGTGTTTTTCTGCTTCCTAGTCAATCTGTTAAGATTTTTAGCAGGAGATTCTTGGATACCTTTGCACAAAACATATGGGATATTGTAATTACTTTGGCCTGGTACAGTTTTAGAATTGAGAGAGCAAGGAAGAGGTACAAATCTTCTGTTCATAAATAACCAAATCTGTGGGCATTTTAAAAAGCATTCTGAGCAGCAGGGGGATTTATGTGCCACGTTTCACCCCTGGCACACTTTCCAAATGAATTGTTCAAAGAGAAGTTATATTAGGACAAATAGAAATGACGACCAAGACCAGATGTGGATTTTAAGTTAATATTTATGCAACACCCAAAGGGAAGATGGTATTGCACAATAAACTAAAAATGTCTCAGGCAAATAAGGAAATCTTTACCCCGAGGAATTGGCACTGCAAAGGTATGAATTATACAACAAAGGACTGGGAATGCAGAACAAATGCAGGGTAGGTTGGGCAACTATTAAAAAGCATTCATTGAGGAAGTGGTAAGGTGGCAGATGTGTGGAACCTACAACAATGAAATAAAAACTAAGCATTTTTCAGGGCTGTCTGTGTCTAAGGTAGAAAAGTAAAGCCAGACTAATTTAATTCCCTTCATCTGTTGGGAACAGTCAGGGCTTTAAGTGGAATAGACACACGCACATACACACACACACACACAACACATACATATGTGGATATGTATTCAGAACTAAGGCAGCAGTGCCATGATGGTAAGTACACCTTAATAAACTAAAATGCAATGACCATCTTAAAGGATGGTGATGACATCTTTAATCTGACTTTCCACCTAAATCTGTTCTCTGAAGGAAGAAAAATGCAGCACTGGCTGCTTTTTGACCCTAGGAGAACAGTCTGACACAGACCAACTCTTTATGCACTGGAAGAATATTCAAGAACATCCAAGTGGATGTCTCAAACACAGCAGAATTCTAGGTCTTCCATTGATCATGGATGGCAAGATGTACCACTTTGCAATATTTCTCAGCCTCTAAGACTTCCAATTCAGAAGAATTGAGGGAAGTGAGAAGAGAAAGAAAAGGAGTAGGTGGGTGGAGAAAACATTTATTTAAAATGACCGGAATCTTGAAAAGTAGGGAGAGTTATGGGAAATACTAACATGTTTTTAGCACTCTCAACCCAAACCTCTCTAAAATGTTTATGCCCCAGAGTCCACTTCATTATTGAAGAGAACTGTTTGATGGTGACTTCCCGCCATGGGTTTTCATGTAAAGTTGACTCCTCCTTAAACATTTTAAACCCAATTCCTCTCTTGGCTGTTAATTCTTCCCTCGCTTCAATGGCAGCCACAAATAAGTTTACCATCTCAGTGAAATTTGTGGCTGGCTTTGGGTAAGAATTCAAGTTTTATTTGATGTGCAATAAAAAGTCATTGAAAAATTTTAGGTAATTTGTAGGTTTTTAAAAGAAATGTAATGCCTGCAGTCATGAGTGGGAAGGTGAAGGCATTGTATGAGTAGAGGAAATGATTCCTGCATTGGTCAAAGTAAGAAATGAGGCTAAGTGTGGAGCTAAATGGATATGATGGGGTATGTCTGAGACGTGTAAACATTCAGGTTTCAGTTAATAAGGAGGGAGGCAGAAGCTAGAGAATATTATAACTGCCATCACCTTGTCATCACAGCTCATGTTTTTATTGCCCTTTGGGCCTTTAGGGTGCTTTACACAGGGAATCTACCTAAATCTTCCTAACAGTACTCGTTGCCACCAGTGTCTGAGGGGTGAGAGAACTAAGGCACCAAGAGGTGAAGGCCTGCGGGGAATAACTGTCGAGAGGGGTCTCAGACTCAAGCCTCCCTTTCTAGTGTTTCTTGCTCTTCTCCAGGGCTCATTATGTCAGTGGAGGGCCTAGATACATAAGACCTGGATAGGTCAACGGATAAAATTTTAATAATTCATCATCAGTGGGCACCAGTTGGGATGTGGTGGGGGAAAGATCACCCCTTGCCGTCAAGGTGCAGCCCTAGTGCTGGGGAAATAAGCTCAAAGGCCCGAAATACTCGCTCAGCCTCCCCTGCACCACCAGGTGTAGAGCTGGACCCGGGCTTGCCTCCCCATCCCATTTCCTTTCATGCATATTTATGGTTTTTCTACAGCACAAAGAAACGGGCATATCGGGCATGGCACAATTGGCATAATAAATATTCATTATTTCCTGCGTGAAATCTATATAGATGTCCTTTGTGACATCAAGAAAAGATGGAGCTTCGCTCTGAAGACGCCCTATACCGCACAGCAGTTGGTACTGAATCCCACAGTATCGCGCCCCCGGGAGGTCTGGCAGTGGCCTGAAATAATTACTTTTCAGGCCGCTGCCAAACCGACCTCCAGGGGGCGGCGGGAGGGACTCGAATTCTTTGCAGGCCTGTTAGGAGGCCTGGCTGGTTAGAGCTGCCCCTGCGGTAGGCGTCGGGGGCACCGCACGGCGTCCGCGGGCTGCACACAGGTTTGCTTTCCATGCACGCCGGTTGCTATGCAGCAGGGGGCGCTGCAGTAGTGTTCATCGCGGTCCAAGAGAGCCACTCTCCCCGCCAGCGAGCGGCCCAGCCAGGAGGAGGAGGCGTGGCAGGCAGCCCACGGCCCGCTTTGGTCTTGCAACTTTAGTACCCAGCACTCATTCTAAGCAGGCCATCCATTTGTCTAGCCCATATTTCAGCATGTTGGATGCCTTCCATCCAGTCCTGCATCCGGGAGGAAAGGAAAGGGCATTAGCTTCCCGCCCTGCTGGGTTTAACGATAGCGCGCTGTACCAGAAGGTAGAGCCTTAGCTCCGCTCGCTGTCCTCGGGGTCAAGCCTGACAGTTCCCTGGAAAGCACCGAAGCCCCCGCAGCTTGTGCGGTGCGTGCGCGCACGCCCTCATTGTGTGTGTGTGTGTGTGTGTGTGTGTGATTTTAACTTAAATGCGAGGACATTTGTCCTCCCTGCAGCTCCTTCGCACTTGTATTTGGGACAAACCATCGCTCAGGGCAAAAATTTCTCCCCCGGGAGACGACGCCACCCTCCCTGCCCCCGCCCCAGTGAGATTGTGTGTTGTGACAACCGCAGCTGTGGTACTTGCCAAACCTGTTCTTCCTCTTCGGTCCACCAGAAATCTCTCCAGAGGACCGGACTTACGCCTGGCAGCGCTTGGCACACTCAGCGAAGGGAGTGCAGCTTCAGCTGGTGCCAGGCGCTGCCAGGCAGCAAGTGGGACGTGAGATCACGTCTTCCTCGGCCCGTTTCTCCTCTGGCCCTCACCCAGCCCCTCATTCCCCCCCGCTCCCTCCCCCGACCTCCCAGAACGCACTCGAGCTAAATCCGGTGGGCTGTCTCGGAGCGGTCGCCCGGAGTTCCCTCCGGGGTTTCCGAAGTGGAATCGAAGGTGAAAGAAACAAGAGCCGGGCAAGAGGCGGGTGGGAGGAGCCTGCGGTCAGGGAGGGGGCGGAGCCTAAGGCCAGCGAAGCGGGCGTGGGAGGAGCCTGCGGTCGGAGGCGGCGACGTGGGAGGAGCCTATGGCCGCAGGGGCGGTGGTGGGAGGAGCCAATGGTCGGAGCGGGCGTGGTGGGCGGAGTCTGAGGGGAGGAGCTGGGTGGGGAAAGAGGCGGGCCCAAACCGGGATGGAGGGCCGGCCACGCAGGCGCGGGGGGCCTCTCCAATAACCCCACGCGGGAGCTGCTGGAGTCTCCAGCCACCGCTTCTCACTTCACTGGCGAAGGGGCTGGGGCCATGGGAGGGAGCTAATAAAGAGTGAATGAGCTGCAGCCGCGGTAGCGGCGTGACTCCCGCCCGAGCAGCTCGGGAGCGGTGCGCCCAGGAGGCGGCGAGGGGAGGCGGCCCGACCCTCCCACCCTCCCCTCTTTCTCTCTCTTTCTCCCTGTAGCCCGGCTCGGTCAGGTCCCTCCGCCCCCATCCCGCACTCTACCACCTCCTCCCAGTCCCCCTCCTCACCTCGATCGCCCCGAATTGCCATGGGTTAGGGAGGGGACCGCAAACGAACCGCGCGTACTACCCAAGCCCTGTGCCTCCGCCGGGGGGCGCGGAGCCCGAACGCCGCTCGCCCGCTCGCAGGCGCCGGGCATGGGGAGCGCGGTGTGAACCCGCAGCCGGGGAGGACGCGTGAGCCGCGCGGAGAGGCGCCTGGAGGAGGAGGAGGAGGAGGAGGAGGAGGAGGAGGAGGAGGAGGAGGAGGAGGCGGAGGAGGAGGAGCGGGAGGAAGAGTGGCCGAGTGGAGAGACCCGAGGGAGGAGGGGAGGGCGCGCGGGGTGGGTGGGGAAGCGAGGGAAAAGTGAAGCTGGGAGGAGAAGGCGGCGGAAGGTGGGGATTGATGCTTCTGTTTTTTGTTGCCGCTGCTGCCCTCGCTCTGGGAGCTGAGCAGGAGGGAAGGCAGTGGAGAGATGATTGCAGAGTTGGTGAGCAGCGCTCTGGGGCTCGCCTTGTACCTCAATACCCTGAGTGCGGATTTCTGCTACGATGACAGGTAAGGCGGCGGGGAGGAAGGGTGTGAAGGGCAGTGTGCGGGGGGGACCTGGCGCTGGCCCTGCAGCTGTCCGCGTTCAAATGTTGCTGGGAGGAGCCGGTCCGGCACCTGGAGGTGCTGGGGACCCGTAACCAGGAGCCCCGAAAGCGAACGCCCGGGACGCGAGCGCGCGGGGCGGGAGGGGGAGTTGAAGCGTCTAGTTTGCAGCAGGTTCTCCCTTCTCGCTTCCTTGGCTCTTGGCAGAGGCTTAAGTTTCGTAGCGGAAATCGCGGCAATTTGGGAAACTGTTTAATGAACGTATTAAAAGAAAAGAAAAGAGGTCTTAGGTCTTTCTGGGTGCAACAAAAAACACATTAAGCGATTTGACGTCTGGGCTGGATGGAAGCCCCTCCCCACCCCTTGATCTTCCCTTAACATTTCCTTTTATTGATGGGACACTTTTATTTCCCGGGGTTAACACACGTACTTGACAGTTGCCAAAACAGTGGAGAGAGCGACCGTTGGAGCGACTTTACTCCAACTTTCCTTTATGGGGCAGGCTATGTACTTTGAACAGGATGCGGCGGCGGCTGGTCCCCCACGCCCCCCATCCCTGCGCCCACTCTAGCTTACCGATCGATACTGGAGCACTTTGGAAAAGATTAGGCTTTCATTTCTGTTTGCGAGATTTACATTAGAGGGTTTTTTTTTTTTTTTTGGTGCTAATTGGGGGAAGAAGATGCCCCTAGAGACTGAAGTTGCCTTCTACATTTGGGTTACTTTGGTTGGCTAATGAGACCTGAACTGTGTTGTCAGAGAAACTGCATCGATTTCTGGGAAATGTCACAGTTGTGGTCGTGTTACTTACCTAGTTTTTAAATGTTGTTAGTGTTTAGAACTGATGAAAAGCTCCAATAGCCATTAAGGAACATTCCAATTTGTGCCTTTTCGGTGACTTAATCTGATTACAATTAAAACAGATGCATAATTAAAATATATTGGGGAGAACAGCATGCCTGGCTAAACTTGTTAACCGTCCTGGGGTGTTTCATGCTCCATTGAAATTAAACCATCCAAAAAGTGAGCACAGATTTACTTTGACAGCTTTTCAACAGCCTCTCTGGGCTATGGCAAGTGAATGGATCCCCAGGGCCAGGGCGAGGCAGAGAATGAACCTCAGCAAAGTGGCCGATAGTGAGGGGAGGTGAAGGTGGAATTTCCTCTAAGGAACCTAACTTTAATTCTCTAGTGTGGCCACTCTCCAGCTGAAAATGTGATCTTGGGTGTGTGCCTTAAATTAGCAACTCTCAGGCCATAGTCTGTTATAAAATTCGCTTGACAATAGGCACAAGAACATCCGGAAAACCCTTCTTTCTGCTCTTTATGTAGTGTCTACGGACTGGATAGGAAGCGGCTGTTAAAATCCGTCTTTTGCCCTCAACTTACAAGCAGTGCAGAGGTCGTAGTCATTATGATACATGCTGTGAGAAATGGTCTGTAAGAGTTTGGTGAGCCGTTTCTATCCCTCTAATTTTGTGTTATGGATGCCATGCACCTGCTACTTCTTTGAGCATTTTTCGTAGTCTGGCTTCCAAAAATGAGTGACTTTTCACTGAAAGTAACTTAGGGATAAATGTGGTCAGTGAGCAGCTCTATGCATTCAGTTTAAATAGTGAATATTTAAGCCACGAAGACTAAAACATATAAAAACTATTTTTAAGTGGTAGGATTAACTAAATTGGGGGGGGGGGGTCCTTAGAAAGGCTAGAAGTACTGCAAAACACTGCTATTTGCGTATTCCTGTTGTTTGCTACTCTTCACTGCTGACTAGTTCTTTAAGGAAAACGTGTCAGAAGAAAGTACTATGTAAAGATTAAGACTGAAACTAAAATTGCCTGTATTCTATGCCTGATGCTATAGACTTAGTGCTTAGAATGTGTTCTTTAGTCATTAGAAGTGTTAAGATTTTGTAAGGCAGGGGGGAGGGAAAAGTGAGAGTGTGATGATAAATTAGTTGAGCTTTGATAGTAATTGTTTTAAGTTCTTATAAATGCTTTGACTCTAATTGAATGTCAAATTCCTGATTTCTGCTTTGCTGCGTAGATGAATTTAATGTGATGATTTACCCATTCATATAACTCATGCCATGATAAATAGAGGACATTTAGTCATATAGTTAATGGTATTGAGGGCCCTAAATTTTAATTATACTTTGCTGTAATTAAAAAGGTACATTTTAACCTGATTTTCTTAAATAGAGAGGTAGTCAGTCATATATCTTTAAGAGCATGAAGTCCTAAAAGTGTCAAACTTGGTTTTTACATCTCTTAGAAATTAAGAAGTACATACTAATAAAAGCATAGAACTGACTTGGTGTCTGAATAACAAATTCAGGTGACTCAGTGCCCAGACACCCTGTAAACTGTGACTCTTTAGATATGCTTTCTGTTTAACTCTCTCGTATATGAAAAGAGTTTGAGAGTTAAATAGAAAATTGTAAGACAATGATAAGAGTTTATTTCCACCATTCAATTTCTGATGACAGAGATTCAAATTTTAAACTTTGAGCAAGTTTTAAACTCTCAATCTCTCTGCCCCTGACACTTTTCATGCAGTACAGTTTGGAGGAGGGGATGCTACCAGTGAAGAGAGCAATGTTCAAGGGGAGGGAGATGTCACTTATTGTCGATTTGCCTGATTGAATCAAGAGTTTGCTGGAGTAATTCCTGAATGCAGAGCCAGCAGTAACCCCTGAGCATCAATGGGTGTGACCCAAAAAGCAAAAAAAAAAAAAAAAAAAAAAGAGTTTGCAATTTGGAAGATGAATCTGGCATTTCTTTTGGACTGTATATTACTGTAACTTAAGCATTATTTGCTGTGGTACTTCTCAACGTTTTCATTTTTAAAAAAATATAGTGATCAAGTTTACTTTATAAGCTGTATATGTAATTGCTTTCACTGTTTGATGCAATTTGGTTGAGACTGTGGTAATCCGAAACTTTCTTATAGCAAAATTAATTTCCCTATGGTAAAATTTAATAATTTACAAGTGTTTCTATGTTTAATGTCAGGCTCTGGCTATGATGTGATGACACAGTCAAAAAGTAGAAGTCACAGTATCTGATGTAAAAGTGTATATGGTTTCAGCTTCATTCACTTGCCTTCAATCTAGTAATGGTTGCATTGAGTCTTAAATTGTGGTTAGAGTAAATATGAAATTACAAATATGCAGTTTTTGCCAATTTTTAAGTCCCATTGCATCTTATTTTTTAAGGGACCCTCTCATTTTGTACAGAAATTGGTGTTTAGGTCAGTGGAAAAAAAAATTGCTGACCCCAGATTCTTGCTCTTTGACGTACATAGTTGAGGTTGTCTTTGCATCATTTTTTTCATCCTTAAGTGCTGTTATATGTATTTCATGAAGGTAGTATGAAGAGAAGCAGTGAGTTCACTTCAAAGCAATAGAAGTAAACTGTAACCGTTTCAATGGCAAATTCAAAGCTTTGAATCAGTGGCTTGTCATTTATGATAGCAAGAGGATAATGCACTGATCATCATCTTCTCCCTCCTTCTTTCCCTCCCTTCCCTCCTCTCCTCCTCTGCCTCTTCTCCTCCTCCCCCTTCCCCCCCATCCTCTCCCACCCCTCCTCCCTCCCTCTTCTACTTCTTCCTTAATCATGAGCCACATGTGGAAGTGCTTAGGGGGGCAACTCCTAATATATTGTTTGGGACTCGCTCGCAGTGAGACCATTCTTAGGAAGGAACAAGCAATCAAGTGCTTCAACTCTGAGCTATCTCCCTAGCTTTGGTTTTCTTTTTAAGACCAATTGAGTTTTTATTTGTTTTTTCCCTACATCTGACTGTGCTCAGGGCTTATGCCTGGTTCTGTGCTCAAGGATCACTTCGAACAGTGCCAGGGATTGAACTCAAGTCAGCTCTGCCAGACAAGCGCTCTACTTGCAGTGTTATCTCTTTGCACCCCCATTCGGGATTTTGGAAGCAGGAGCTGGGTGTGTGACTGCTTTGATATTTTCCCCCTTGTGATATGTTTTATGTTTGTTGAACTTAGCAGTGGTCATTGCCTTTCCCTATAGATCTTTTAACTATTCCAGACTGCCTAAATTGTGTGAAACTCAGGAACATTCCACAGCAAATATTTATGCCTGAACCCAAACTGCCCCACCTCTTAGTAACCCATCTGGAACCTAGTTCAATTGAATGTAAATGTAAATCTCAGTTTTTACAGAAATACTCTAGAGATATTTCTTTTTGTCAGTCATACAGATTTTGATTAATGGGATCTAAAATGAAGGGGATTGAGGATTTAAGGCATGTTGACAGTTTTTTAAAAAATTTTTTTATTATCTAAAGATGTGAAATTCTCCTTTCTGCTATTATTTTACTATTATTGTTAGTTTGAACTTTTGACCTGGTATGATAAGAATTCTCCTGTATAATGGCTAATCATTCTGTTAACGTCTCTCTAAAAGGTTCACTCCAATTGCCTTACATGGGTGATCTGGGATTGCAATCTTAAAATTTTAGAAAGTTCAACCATTGAAGATATAGCTAGCATGTATTTAAAAAGTAGATTTAGAAAAAATTACTACAGAAAACATCATGGGGCCAGAGAGATAGTATGGTGGAGTTGGTCATTTGCCTTGTACACGGCTGGTCTCAGTTCAACCTCTGGCACCCCTTATGGGACTCTGTTCCTGCCAGGAGTGAACCCTGGCAGGATCAGAGCAAAGAGCAAAGAGCCAAAAGTAAGCTCTCAGCACCACCCAGTGCAGGCACACAGGCACTCGCCTTCCTCCTCCCCCCATCGCCCCCTCCCATGGAAATAAGGCATATGTTTTCTCTGTATCAAAAGTTATCCCAGCAGGTCTCCATTAGAAGAAACAAATGTGTATACAGAAGTATTAATTTACCTTTTGATTTTTTCCCAGTACACTACACTAAAAAAAATTATGCAGTGCCAGAGTGATAGTATAATGGCTAGGGCACTTACCTTTACTCAT